AGGTCAGGGGGAGGGAACTGCCCTTCCTGCTGGCTGGAAGGGTTGTGGTAGTGGGGTATTTATACCCTATGTTGTTCCAGAAAATCCCTCTCTTACTTGGATTGGGTTGGCAGCATCTACCCACCCTGGAAATTTGCAAAACGACCGGTTTTCTCATGCCCCACTGTGTGCATTATGCTACTCAGCCCTTCTTTTTGAGGGCTGGGAAGGAATTTTCCCCTCACAGCCAGATTGGCTAAGCAGGATGGGGTGTTTTTTGCCTTTTGCATAGCAGATCTGGGAGCCAGTGGGGTGAGGGCAGGAGGGCAGGTTATAATGTTTCAATTTAGTGTGAAAAAAATCTTGACAATTGTCCAATGCAAATGGGTCCAGTCTCAGTGGAGAATCTGGCACTCAGACTCCCAATTTATCGTCTGAGGATTGTGATGCCAAAACATCTCTCTTAGCTTTATCTTGTCTTTAAGTACTATTTCTCCCCCTTCAAAGGTTTTTCTGCTTTATTTATGGCTCACATTTACTAGTCACAATTAGGTTTTCGCCAAGTTGTTTTAAGAAGGCACATGGCCGTAAATCTGTTCTTCCTCCATTAGGCTCATCCCTTTTTTCCCCCTCATCTAGTTAACCATGGGCCAAGGTGTACTCTTGCAATCTAGCCCACAAAGGAAAAGAACAACTTCCAAGAGTTGAAATAAATTCAGTCAATTTAGTTTAAAAATATTCGTAATTATGGCTTTATCTAAATATAGGAGAGGCAGGCATCATTTTAAGTTCCTTAAATAATTTCTCCAATTCATGCACCTCCAGTTCTGCTCTGCTATTCAAGTTCTAATCCTAGAACATGGCTGCCAGTCACAGCAAACTGCGTTGACTTTATGATGTGCCCATTTTACCTTCACTCTAAGAATCCAGCATTGGTGTAGTCAAATGTTTTGATCCGTAGGCAGAGCAGTGGTCTATTTAGTACTCCTGTCATAAAAAAAAGTTTTCAGAAAGGTTCCCAGGCCATTCTTGTATCTAGAGTTAGTAATACATGGGGTGGATGTTATGTAGGTGTCTACATTTGCCAAGCTTATGTTCCATTTGCAGATGAATGATTGAAACTGAAAGGGAAGCACAATATTTTTGGATTCTGTGTAATTAAAATAGGGAATCCTGGAAGGGCTGTGATTAGGACCGGCTCTAGGCACCAGCAAAGCAAGCACGTGCTTGGGGTGGCACAATTCCAGCCATTCTTTCTGGGTTTTTTTTTGTTTTTTTTGCTTGGACAGTTGTACTCTCGGAGCTTGGGCGGCAAATTTTTTGCTTGGGGCGGCAAAAAACCTAGAGCCAGCCCTGGCTGTGATAATCTCTCCTTTGGATGGTAAATATTAAGATTTTAATTGCATTTCCTGCCTTTGCTTTTTTAATCAATTGTGCTCTGAACCTTACTTCACGTATATTTGTAAAGTGCCTTGAGAGAGCTTAACTGGCTTAGTGACCTCTCTGAATACAGGGCTATTCAGAAAGCTAGCTGATGGGCAGTTTATTTAGTAGCGTTATAGATAATTTTACAGTGATTGAAATTTGAGACTTAACCTTGGCTCATCATTGCCAGGATGACTGCATTAGGGCAAATCATGGGGGTGATGGTCAAACCTCCTGGGTTAAAGAGAGAACAAGGTAGAATAAACTATCTTGAATGCACAAATAAAAATGGTCTGAACAGCCTAAAAAACAGCAGCTGTTAAGTGGTCTAGCTTAGCTTATTGGTCATTCTTGTGATTTCATTGAATGTTGTTCAATGAAGACAGCTGCATAGAGAGAAGCTTGTTTCCAGAAACAAATGGGTTAAACTAGTCTGGTGCCAATAACTAAATCAAACTATTCTCTTGTTTTCTAGCAAAATCTCCCCCTTTGCTATACAATATGGCTAACACTTAGATGAACATAAGTGGAAGTTGCTGCAGGCTTTCCTAGCAATTAATTTTCTGCACATAGATGTTCATATTGCTGCTCAGTCTCTGTTGATATGGCTATGCTGCCCATGCTGTGATTATTGCAAATATTTGTTACCTTGAAGAATCCATTTTTGCTACCAGTGTGAATTGTTGTAAGACTGAACTTCTTTCCATTAGATTTCCTGCAGATAGCTTAGCAGAAATCTCTTTCGATCTTGAACTCTATACTTTAATTTTAAATATTTGTTGCTCATACATAAAAGGCTACAGTATGTTATTAAATAAACCATATGGGGGCTATTAAAACTGTGTGCTGTTTTACTACCAGTGCTTTTAATATAATACATGTAAGCAACATCATTATTTGCATGGATAGCAGAATGTTAACTGCAAAAATAAAAGCGTCACAATTATGAGCTGCTGATTATTTCACCTTCCTAAAGATGTAATGCTTTAAATCATGAGGCACTTCAAGACTGCCTGTAGCAACCTCAATTATGTTTTGGGACTTGTTTATATACACGCAGCTTTGGTAATGTTGTCTGGATTTCCTGATTGACTCCACTGTGTCTGAAGGAAAGTCATGTAGGCTAGCATTTTTAAAGAACTCTAATGGTTAAACACCTAAAACTCAAAGAAATTCATTGGGGGTTGGGTGCCTAGTTTCTTTATATGTCCTTGAAAATCCTGGCCTAACTATCCCTCAATTTTTCTCAATGTATGGCATATAGATACTTCAATAACTACGGCCAAATTAGTGCATTAGGGCTGAATGGGCAGTAGTCTAGTCCAGAAGAATAAACCGTTGTGAAGATGGGATTAGAGCTGAATGAATAACAGATTCTTAAAAGCAAAATAATAATGAACATCCTTTTGGGCTAAACTGAATGATTAGATTTTTGGTTGATTGAAAAGGTAAAAAATAACTTGTCCAATGAAATGGTCTGTTAGCCATTAAACTAAATGTTTCATTTAGATGAAAATTTTTTATTTTTTTAAAAATAAAAAAAACTTCAAAACAGTCCATTTTGAATCAAAAATAGAAACTTTTGAAAATATCAAAATGAAACATTTTGATTTTTTTCAAATTGTTTTTTACTGAAAACTTGGTGACATTAACAAGACGTGAAATGTTTTGGTGTCACTATATTTTTTTATTTTTATTATTTTTTTTGCTGAAGAAAAGTTTTATTATAAAATGTTTATCCAGTTCTAAATGTCTTCTACTTGCTAGCCCACAGAGTAAGTGACCCAGAACTACTGTCAACTATGTGAGAATTCTTGTAGAAAAAGTAATAGAAGTCTGTGGGTTTGGATCAGAGTAACATGGTTCCAATCCAGTTTCCCTAGACATGAGATTTAATATAATTGTTGTCACTAGAACATGGATTTGTGAAAAGTGGAAGTACACTTCATATGCATGTTGTCTTATGACATGGTTGAACAAATATATTTAGATTTATTACAGCATAATCTGATTAAACATTATTTAAAAATGGAAGATTTCTATGGATATGAAAGTTAGTGGGAGTTGGGTTGTTGATTTGAATGGCATCAGCACTAGTGAAACATGATTTCTTCCACTGATGATGGGCAGCAGCTAAATCCTGATTATCTTCTTATAAATGTAAGGGAAAGTAAGCAATTCAGCACACAGCTGTTTTTACGGAAGGGGTATTGGCTAGATTTTTTTTATACTCACGTTTCTTCCATGAAATTTAAATGACCAAATACCTCTCAAGAAATTTCATTTTAAAAAAAGATACTGCTTGCACTGCTATCTATTGATTTCATTTCCTGATGATCTTATTTGTGTAAATTTGCTTGTTTTATCTTTTTGAGGCTGTGTGCTGTTTAGGCTAGGGACTTAATCCCTTAATTTGTTGTTTTTCAATTAATCTATTTGTGAAGAGAAAGTTTAGCTTTTATACAAAATAGTTGCTGATTGGCTTTTGACCAAATTTCACAAAAAAGCCAGTTTTGGACAGAACTCAAACCTGGAAAATTTCAGTTCCCCAGTTGAATTTTTTTGGATGGTAGTTATGAGTGACTGAAAACAGTCGTATGCCGCTTTACCTAGTGGTTGCTGTATTGTCCCAATACTACTGCTAGTTCGGTTTTTTTAGATAGCGAGTTGGGTTACTGTGAAGATTGGATTTACTGGTTTTATTAGAAATTTAGCTGAAACTACAGTACCTTCTAGACAGGCCTTTCAGTCATGTTTAATCCCCATGATTTAGATTTGGTTGGGACAAAAGAGGTTCTAAAATGCCCTTGTAGGCCAGCATGGACATGACCAAACTATGTTACATCCATGTTCTAAATCTGTGTTCTAGTGTTATATCTATCTTGAGTGAGGAGAACATATCGCTAACGCATTTTTGGCCCTGTGTCCCAATTTACTGGGTAAAATGTCAGAAATAGATTGAAAAACCTGCTTGACCATTTGTAGAGGCTCAAAGAGTTCAGTTGCCTTTTTTAAATGATTTTGTACATCATCATGTTCCCTGGGTTTGAGCGGAGCTGAAAACAGAAGCATCATTATGCATGGGAAAGAACATTTTGGGCAGAATTTTCAGCCCATGCCAAAATTAGTATTTATTGATCATCAAAATGGATTCAAGATTGCTATCTGTAAGAAGTCTGAATAAATATAATTAGCTCTGGGGAAATATCTGGGCATTTGGACAATTTAAAACTCACATCTTTGGTTATTACTACCAAACAGGCTGTACTGAGGCCTTTGTGGAATGAAGCTGTCATGCTGTTTGGTCAGAGAGAAACTTAGCCTAGAAAAACAACTTCAAAAGAAAAGCACACTACACTTTCACACACATTTTCTAGCAAGTTGTGGTCTTCAAAATGTATGACAATGGCTAACATAATGGTCTTGAATTCTGATTAGTGGGCACTGTTTGATTACATTTCTATTTGGTGGTATAGGTGGGTCTTATAAGGTACCAAATTATGTATTTTAATTTTCAATTAACATTGGACTGGGAACAGTTATGGGTATGGCAGTTTCTGCTGCTAAAGCTATAACATGGATTTATCTTTATACAGGTTATATGAAGGAAAAGAACAGACAGAATTTGAGGAATCTATGAGGAGACTCTTTGAATCCATCAACAACCTTATGAAAAGCCAGTATAAAACTACCATTTTGTTGCAGGTTGGTACTTCAGAAACAACAATATGTTTTGTTTATTGACAGTGTAGTAGTGGTGATACATTTAGATTATTTATTCTTTACCCATTACATATCTATTCCTTAACTGGCAGAGCATAGATGGACAGTTTGTTTAATTACTTTGAAGCCCAAGGTTGACAAGTTTAGAGGAAGATGCATGGTTTGTACACCTTTTAAAAAGGTAGCTGGTTAAATAGCTAAAACCCAGATGCTGCAATTTTCTAAGGAGCCTATAGGAGGTAGGCCCATAGGTGCTGACTTTTTTGGTTTTGCTGGTGGGTGCCCCATCCTGGTTCCACCCCCCTTCCCCAAGGCCCCGCCCCCACTCTGCCCCACTCCACCTCTTCCTGCCCCTGCTCTGCCCGCTCCCCTTAGGTCTACTCCCCTGAGCATCTCCTGCCCACTGCTCACTCCTTTCTTCCCCCCCCCACCTTGAAGGTGAGGTATGTGTGTGTGTGGGGGGGCTCAGCCTCCTCCCAAAACTGGCAATTTTCAGCATATTTACACACTTCTTTCTTATTCTGTTATCGAATGTGTCTATATCATTGGCATCTTAACAATGTAATCATTATTAAAATAGTAATGAAATATATCATTACATTTTCATGAATTACAGTATATTAAAATTGTTACACTCAGCTACAAGCTGTCTTCACTAACATCCAAGTTTAAAGACATTATGTTCGCTCTGGGCTTCACACCTGCTTAGGGCCTGTTTGGGAGCTGAGGCCACTGATGGCTGTGGGGAGAAGGTCAATGAGAGGGACAAGCAGTGTAGAGTCTTTCCCCTTTCCCTGTCCCTTTCTCCTCTCCCTGCCCCTTTCCCTTTCTCTTGTTTATTCTCTAAGTCCTTGCTCCCTTTCCTGATGTTTTTTCCCCTTCTTGTTTCCCACTCATGTCCCTTTTTCCATCTCTCTCTATTCTCCATCTCCTGGTGGCTCTGTCTAGTGCCTGCTCCCACCCACCCACTCAAAGTGGCAGAGGAGGTTCCCCCTCCTTGAGTGGGAAGGTTGCCTAGTGGTTAATGCACAGGCCTCGGGCTCAGGTGTTCTGGGTTTGATTCTCTGCTCTGCCACAGGCTCCCTGCTTAGCCTTGGGAAAGTCACTTCACCACTGTGTGCCCTAGATCCCACCTGTCAAATGGGGCTAATGCTGACCCTGCCTCCTAGGCTAAATCCATTCATGGCTGTGTGATGATGGGGGAAATGGAGATACCAATGCGGGTAGATTTGGGCTGAATTTCTCCACAGCCAGAGAATGAGAGCCAGCTCTGCAGGGTGGATGGGAGAGAGAGGGGCTCAGGCCAGCTCCACACAGAGTGGGGTTGGGGCTTCAGCCCTCCAGCTTCTGCCACTAGGGGTGGCTGGGGCTCCGAGCCGGAGACTTCAGCCCCACATGTTCTGCCAGAGTCCAGGGCTTCTTCCCGCCCTCCACCCCCAGTGCGGCTCCTGCCGGGGCTTCTCCTCCCTCCCCCCACAGTGCAACTCCTGATGGGGTCCAAGGCTTTTCCTCCCCCTAATCCACCACTGCACCCAGCCCTAGCCTAGCTGGGCTCCCTTGAGTCATCTGATGCCTTCTGTGGACAGAGTGGAGTCTGGCTTGCAGGGAGCAACCATACTCTTGGAGGACATGGCCATCAGCCCAAGAGGTGTGGGGCGGCCCTCGGTGGCTGTGCTGCCGCTAATAGCCCAGCACTCCTGCCCACGCCTAACTCTAAGGATTTTTTTTTTGTGAGACTCACTCAGCCCCTGCTGGAGTGGGGAGGTGGGAAACAGCTGATCGCAGCCTGCCCGCCAAACAGCTCATCGCAGCTGCACACAGGCTACCCATAGGAAACAGCGCAGCTACTGGGGCACCTGCAAAACAGTTGATCCCTGGCTGCCAACAGCGGGTCAGCCCAGTGGGTGCTGAGCACCCCCTATTTTTTTTCTGTGGGTGCTCCAGCCCCGGAGCACCCACCAAGCCAGCGCCTATGGGTAGGCCCTCAATTCCTCTTGAATTTCAATGGGAATAGAATACCTAACACTTAGGAAAATGCAACCCAGGGATCCTTGAGGTGGTGACTCTAGCATATTAATTAAACAATCTGTCCCAACTCATAGTTGGCTCAGACACTCTGATTTCCTTCCCCAGACCTGAGAAAGGGCTCTCTAACACAAAAGCTTGTACCATCCAACAGACATTGGTCCAATAAGATACTGCCTTACCTACCTTGTGTATCTCAATTGAAAAATAGACGTTTTGGTGTCTGAGCTTTTACAATGAGTTATCTAGACAGCAGAAACTACTGACTATAGGTTGAAGGCTTTGCAGTCATGTAAATGTCAGTCACTTTTGTCATCCACAGTGACTCACATCTGTGAATAAACATAAGATACTTGCACAAAAATCAGGAAGAGAAGGGTTTACTAAGATATATCCAACTCTGCATAAATTATAAATTAATATGCCCCTAATAGCAATAAAAATCTGAAGTTTGCGTGTGGCCTTATAGCAGGATATAGTTTGTTTTCAGGCAGGATGGTAACATTAGCATTTTATGAACCCTTTAATGCCCCATTTTTCATACTGTTGGATATGATTTTTTGTTTTGCTTAGTTCTCTGTTTTGGTATCTTTGATTTAAAATGCAGTGGAAATGGAAGACTAAGCAGAGCAAATTTGCGGCTGTATTTGATTCATTTCAACGATCCTTTTTGGAGTTACATTTCCCGTGACGCTTTCCTTAGAATGATGCACAGAGCTGTAAAGGAACTAAAAACATAAATCTATTTTCACCTGAATAATAACATGCTTCCAATAATGTTCCCAATGTGTTGGAAAGGAATTCAGGATGTTCTGTACCCTATATGACAAATGTATAGATGATTTGCCAGGAGCAGGCTAAGTATTTGGAACAAATTGCATCAGGAGCAGGATACTTTTTGGATTTTAAAAATATTTTGCAACTGTCATAACTATAAAGGGATGGGTAACCAACTTTCTGTATATAGTGCTGTAAAATCCCTCCTGGCCAGAGGCAAAACCCTTTCACCTGTAAAGGGTTAAGAAGCTGAGGTAACCTTGCTGGCACCTGACCCAAAAGGACCAAGGAGGGGACAAAATACTTTCAGATCTGGAGGGGGTGGGGGACAAAGGGTTCTGTCTGTCTGTGTGATGCTTTTGCCGGGAACAGATCAGATATACAAGCCTTACGACTCCTGTAAAGTGAGTAAGTAATGTAGCTAGAAAATGCGTTAGATTTTCTTTTGTTTAATGGCTGGTAAAATAAGCTGTGCTGGAGGAAATGTGTATTCCTGTTTTTGTCTTTTTTTTGTAACTTAAGGTTTTGCCTAGAGGGATTCTCTCTGTTTTCAATCTGATTACCCTGTAAGGTATTTACCATCCTGATTTTCTTTAATTTAAAATTCTTCCTTTAAGATCCAAGGGTTTGGGTCTGTGTTCACCTGTACCAATTGGTGAGGATTATTATCAAGCCTTCTCCAGGAAAGGGGATGTAGGGCTTGGGGGGATATTTTGGGGGAAGACGTCTCCATGTGGTCTCTTTCCCTGTTCTTTGTTTAAAACGCTTGGTGGTGGCAGCATACTGTTCAAGGACAGGGCAAAGTTTGTGCCTTGGGGAAGTTTTTAACCTAAGCTGGTAAGAATAAGCTTAGGGGGTCTTTCATGCAGGTCCCCAAATCTGTACCCTAGAGTTCAGAGTGGGGAAGGATCCTTGACAGCAACAAAGCAGTATCCAGAAGTATTCAGTAGAATCGTACTTCAGCATTACATAGTGTAATGGGTTGTACTCTACATTGCTTATAACACACTGTTAATGTTAGAATATCTTAATACCTGTATTGCATAGGAGGCACGTGCAAAAATTTCAATGTCTCCTGCATTTAGTTTCCGAGTATTCAAGCTTGTTAGAGTGAGATCTCTGGAGTAAAGTAATTAAATACGTTCGAGGCATTCATATGGCACAGTGGCTGTGTCTTGTAAGTACTTAAACCCATTGCTTGTTTAGTGAAAATGATCAAAATATATATGCAGGATTTCCCATAGGATGAAAGGAAAGAAATCTTCAACAAAAGGTGTACTCCTGTTAATTAATCTGGTTCTTTTACTTTGAGATGTTGTTAATCACATCTTTTAAATCTTTTGATACCTTCTAACACCACTTAGCCTGTTTCAATGAAGTTTCTAATAGAAACATGAACAAAATTTTACAGATGTAATGACTGACAATGTTTGGGGGTATTTTTAGTTCCGCTTGATTGCAAACATTTTGCTTAAAATGTTCTTTGTTTTTCATTCTTGTGAAAACAGTCTTCATGATCAGAAAGAACAACTCAAATGAACTTCACTAGCCATGGGAAACTTGTCTAGTTAGCAATTTGTGTCATCCCCGAGATAAGCAGAATATCTTTTGTTCCATATGAAAAATGGATTACCAATGGGAATAAGGGACTGCTATCCCACATTGGATTAATGTTGGGTTATGTGGGATGGGAGTGGAAGTTAAGACAGAATTTGGTTCTGCAGCCAACAGAGTTACTCATAAAAAAAAAAAAATTAGCCACACTGCAACAGTCATTTAAAAGATGTACATACTAGCAGTAAGATTGCCATACGTATTTATGGCTACATTGCTCATGTTTAGGGTGGTGGCTTCTATATACTGTACTGGATTTTAAAATTGCACCTGTCTGGCAGAAGAGTTCCTGTCATGCAGGGTGAACACCATCGAGTATGTTTTTGAAAATATAAAAATATTTAAAAGCTCCTTTCCTTCAGGGCATGAGGAATTTTAAGGCTGTACAGGTGTGTATGTACTGGAATAAGTAGGTAGTGATATGGTAAACTGATGGAATGGCTATATCTGTGTTTTTATGCTTTTGTTAATTATAACTATTTTAAACATGCATTTTGTCTTTTCTAATGAGCTATATAAAATATGAAAAAGGTATTGTTTTGTGATAACAAAACAATTTCCACAAA